TTTAAATCAAAACGAAATAAAATGCCGAAGAACTTAAAACTGCTAAAATAAAGTAACTGTGGCTATTTCTGGAAAGTGAGTTGGTTTTAACGTTATAAATAGTTATCACGGGGTAAAAAAAGATTATGACGAAAAGCAAAAATCGAAATTCTTTTTTGTATGGTGGGTTATAGTAACCATAAACAGAGTAGTGATTTATGGTCAATTATTGCATTTCATATGGAACCTGTAAGGGAACAACTGATATCAGCTTAGATTTTGAAACATTTACGATGATTTAATGGTTTGAAACGCCTTCGAAAATTTGGAAATCCAGGGAATCCCTGACAAATCTGTCTGGAAATCAGGAGATCCCGGTATTTTTTCGGATTTCGGAAATCCCGGAAATCTCGTATACTACTTTGGGTAGTGTGTGTAAAGGAGACTACTATACTTCGAATTGTACTCTAGAATATTATCATATGTTTGCATGAATATCTTCTAGTTAACTAATCAATAAAAACTCGGATATTAGTCAGACGTAAACGTTCGCGTTCCGCATGCATGCTCTACCTGCGGAAAGCCTTAAAGTCATGTGGAAACGCACGGAAAAAGTGTGATAGGGCCTTCAGTCATAACATATAATTAGCCATAATAAATGATCCACAGGCGAAAGTACCGCATAAAAGACGCCCCCAAGAACGTTTTCACTTTAACGAACCAAATGACCTTGAAATACAAACGCAAACCATCGGGAGGATTTGTATGTGAACTTTTCACAGCGAAAAGTAAGATTCTTTTTTGTATGTAATTCGATTATTCTATTTCATAAATGGACCACATAGTACTAAGGAAAACATTTTAGTTTTTATTTTACTTATTCTTAATTTCAATACAGCTTCTCCAGATACAGCAAGGCCTTACTGTGGCGAGTATCTTGTGCCACAAGTAAATTGAGACACAATGGTGAAGAAATACGAGAAAGTGATTTTCTTTCTCTTTATGAATCAAAGACGGGAAATAATGATCAACCAATTGTAGATCACTGTTCCATACTGTTATAACGGACCGATGCAACTACGACGTTTTGCCTGCCTTCAGACGGCTGCGGCCTCGTCTCCGTCAGCGCCTCCAACAGCCGGATTTTGAATGGCAGCCACGCGTCTGCCTGGCGTTGGAGAAAGGTACTCGCCTCGGAGGAGGGGCTGTGGCCACCGGCAGGGGCCACGCCAGCTTCGGTGAGGACGCTCGCACATGTGTACACACGCGTTTATGCATGCATGCATACTTTATATATTTCATGTGTCTATATTTTTGTCAGTGTGTGTTGGCTTTTTTAAGCCTACACACACACACACACACACACACACACACACACACACACACACACACACACACCACACATATATATATATATATATATATATATATATATATATATATATATATATATATATATATATATATATATCATCCACATTAATATACTTTCCCTCCTCGAATAAAATGCATTGGAACAAGTAACGAAAATCTTACAAATAAGAGTGACACAAAGACATAACATGATTTCATAATCCTCTTAAGCAATAAATATAACCCAATTCTTTAAACCAGGTGGTAGATACGTCTATATCTTAAGGGAGGTTGAGCTGGATCTCATTTCCGTGAGTGAATGTAAAACCAAAGCCACCTTACCACCTGACTCGAGCAAGGTCGTATGTGCTCTCACACCCTACAAGGACACGTGTCAGGTACCTCACCTTTCCCTATTTCGATTTTTTTAAAGACGATATTCGATATCTCACTCTCGCAATTTATTTTCTGCCATTCCTTCCTCATCTCGAAAAATCCTTCATGCTATCGGGTTGACATATTTCCACGATGCCTATAGTTTGTTTTGAAACTGTTAGTTATATTAAAATCATTGTACATTGCCCAGGGTGACAGCGGTGGCCCTCTAGTGGTGAGGGCTAGCGAAGAGAGGTGGGTTCAGGTGGGCATTGTCAGCTTCGGATTAGAATGTGCCAGGATGTCTGCTTACTTGGACTGGATCGCCGGCAACACGGACCTGACTGACTACGACTCTGCGGGACTGAGATTCATAATTTTTTGACATATGTTGTTTGATGTTTTGTCACATCGAGAGGAGATTGCTGTATTTATATATGAATCTTGATACATGAGTGTACATATTCTTTCTCTTACTCATATATGCGAGAGAGATAATGCAACACACACTATTCCCAGTCCTGTTTTGGACACGTCATCCTTGGCCCTGACCCCTTGTCTATTCCTCTCTTCCAACAAAGAAAATCGGCGGCAGCGTTTCCGTCAGAAGCCAGCGATCAACAGTAGCACGGGAGCAGCAGCAAACTCGAGACCAGAATTTGCACAGAATTACTTGTTTACATTATAAGAGAGAGAGAGATTTGTAATGCATATAAGTATCAAACACACACACACATACACACACACATGTATATATATATATATATATATATATATATATATATATATATATATATATATATATATATATATATAGTATATGTGTATTTGTGTATGTGTGTGTAAAGATAGAGATATAGATAGGTAGATATAGATATGTATGTATTTTACAAGGAAATATATATATATATATATATATATATATATATATATTATATATATATATATATATATATATATACATGTATTATTATATACAGTATATATACGCAAGCATACACATACATGCGCGCACACACACACACACACACACACACACACACACACACACACGTATTTATTTATATACACAAACTTCTTTTTCCTGAAAATAGTTATTTCCATTATTTCTCTTCACACGAAATGCCATTATTCGGTATCGCCAATAACATGTGCGGCCTTCTCTTCATATCACATAACATCAAACTGGGTGCACCATAAAAGATAATATCGATTCAGAACTCTCCCTCCATTACACGCGAGGTTAAACTCCTATTCCGTCTGTAATACTGGGAACGGGCTATCATCCTTATTTTTTCTGCGCATTAAACACAATTTTAAAAATCATAGAGTATCGCTCCTTTTACCTGCTGATTTTAAAGATTCTCTTGTTTCGGGATTTTATGACTTTTGGGATTATTTTTTGTATTTGATGTTAATAATGGCAATGGAAAAAATATGTTCGAACAGCTGCCTAGATCTACCTTTGGAAATGCCAATTACTCGCGCATAAACATCCGCGTATGTATTTCGTGGAAGGTTGTTATCAGGTTTCGCAGGAATATATCATATTTCCTGTTTCACATGCTTACGTGTACAGTGTGTGTGTGTGTGTGTGTGTGTGTGTGTGTGTGTGTGTGTGTGTGTGTGTGTGTGTGTGTGTGTGTGTGTGTGTGTGTGCATACTTATACGTATACATACTCATACATACATACATACATACGCACATACGCACATACATAGAAACATACACACATACACAAATTATATATATATATATATATATATATATATATATATATATATATAATATATATATATATATAATATATAATGTATATGTATGTATGTATATATATGTATTCATATATGCATATTTGTATGTTTGTGTGTGTGGTTATACATATATACAGCACACAGACACACACACACATATACACACATACAACATATATATACATATATTTATATATACACATGTAGATACATAACACACACACACACACACACACACACACACACACACACACACACACACACACACACACACACACACACACACACACACACACACACTTATATGGCTAGCTACATAGATAGATACATAGATAGACAAACTGACAGATGAATAGAGAGATAGAGACGTGTAGAGGGAGAGAGAGAGATACATCATTCATATCACATGATAAGTCATTGCATACTGAGGGCTAACATTACAGATGCTGATATACAGATATGTTATACGAAATTCAACACACCATAAATTAATGTCTGATGAACTGAAATGAGTTTATAGATACGTAGAATAATAGCAAAGAAAGGAAGTAAACGCAGAACGAAGCGGTTAATGCGAGTATAGCGTTCGTGTTGAGGAGAGCTCTGTAGTACACAGATATGTTCTAAAGTGTGAATGTTTATGTCTCGCCATAAAGTTTGGTGTGCGTGTAGATAAAAGTATGCAAAGTGTGTAAGAAGATACGCGTGTAAACCGTACTTCTGCCACTTGTGTACTTGTACTGTTCGATAGAAAAGCTGTCATTGTGAACTTCGCCGTGACAGGGAAAAGTACCGTTCTTTTTTTACTAAACAGGTGTGATGTTTCTACACGATTTGCTGTGGCTCTGACAAAGATGAAAACAAAAAGCTGTAAAGAGCAAAACGAGTAACGATAAAGTGGAATTAAATGGGTTAAAGGTTGTTCGAGTGCAATACAAAAGCAACAGCAACAAAAGCAAGAGAAATCAATATTTTCTGTTGGAAATAAGAAAGGATGTAGATATAATGTTATCATTCTACTCTGCTGGAACATCAAAAGTAAGTGTAACAATAAATGATTTATTACTGTTACCATCGATCTTTTTATTATTATTATCATTGGTGTTATTATTATTGTCATTATGTCTTTTGGAACTATTATCATTACTATTATCACCCTTGTTATTATTATAATTATCATGCTTATTGTTACTATTATTATCATCCTTATCATTAATCTTATATTATCATTATTATAATTATTGTTGTTATAATTTTTGTTATATTATCATTATTATTATCATCATAATTATTATCATCACTATTATCATTTTGCATTATGATAAAAATACTAACAATACTACTACTACTACTACTCAACAACAATAAACATCATTATCATTATTGTTATGATTATAATAATGATGATGATATCATTATATTATTATAATTGATTACTATAGGATTTAGACATAGTCAAATAGAAAAATCACGTAAACGATGTGCAGTTCGAGGTCAACAGGGTTCCCAAATTATTACGCCAAGGTCAAGTTTTGGTA